AATGAGGCCGGCGCCTCAGCGAGAGCAGCATTTTGGAACAAAAATGCCAGCGAAAACCCAAGTCCGGGGAATGTGTGTAAAAAACAGTACGCGGGGGGGTCGAATATGATCAGAGCACTTTCAAACCGTCATCAGGGGAAGAGGGAGACTAGTATTCATATTGAAAAGGGAGGGAGGGGAGGGGAGAGGAGGGAGGGTAGGGGGTAGGGAGGGGAGGGATGGGAGGGGAGGGGAAGGGAGGGGGGGGGAGGAAGAGGGAGGGAGGGAGGAGGGGAGGCAAGCTAGGTGCGCTCGCGTCAACATCTGACATCCTACCCCTCCCTCCCATCCCTTACCATGGCGCTGATTTTCTCTATCCGCGGACGCGTGTCGTAGCGGACCTGTGGCTCCGCGCGCGCGTGCGTAGTGTGTGGTGGTGCGCGTGCGTGCGTGCGTGCGTGCGTCTGTGCGTGGTTGTGGTGGTGGTGGTGGTGGTGGTGGTGATGGTGGTGCTGGTGGTGGTGGTGGTGGTGCTGGTGGTGGTTGTGTTGTTGTTGTTGGTGGTGGTGGTGGTGGTGGTAGTGGTGGTGGTGGTGGTGGTGGTAGTGGTGGTGGTGGTGCGGCGCGGTGGTGGTGGGCGGATGGGCGCGCGAGAAAGAGGCCCGCGCTGGGGCGAGAACGCCATCCTGAACGACAGAGGTCAAACACCGATCCGAAAATGAGGCCCACGCTGCAGCGGGAGCACGCTTCGGAACGATTCTGGAGCAGAAATGAGGCTGGCGCCTCAGCGAGAGCAGCATTTTGAAAAAAAAACGCAGGCAAAAACCCAACTCCCGGGAATCTTGTGTGTAAAAGAACAGTACGCGGGGGGGGGTCGACTACTTTCAGGCCGCCATCGGGGGAAGAGGGAGAGTAGTATTCATATGGCGTAATTGTAGAAAGGGGAGGGAAGGGACGGAGGGAGGGGAGGGAGGGGAGGGAGGGGAGGGGAGAGGAGGGAGGGTAGGGAGGGGAGGGATGGGAGGGGAGGGGAAGGGAGGGGAGGGGGGGAGGCAAGCTAGGTGCGCTCGCGTCATATCTGACATCTTACCCCTCCCTCCCATCTAACGTGGCGCAGATCCCTTCTCTACTCGCACAGTCGGATGTCGAGCAGGGTGATGATCCCGAAAGGGTACGCTATGCGTTGTAGAGCACGGCGTGTCATGGCGTAGAAGAGTACCGCACATCGCAGTATCAACCTAGCATTGCATTGCATGCCGTAGCATGGCACGGGAAATGACGCCAGCGCTGCAGCGGGAACACGAATCGAAACGAGCGGAAGCGCGGAAATGAGGCCAGCGCTGCAGCGGGAACGCGCTTTGGAACGAGCGGAAGCACGGAAATGAGGCCAGCGCTGCAGCGGGAACACGATTCGGAACGAGCGGGGCCCGAAAATGAGGCCGGCGCCTCAGCGAGAGCAGCATTTTGGAACACGAATGCAAGCGAAAACCTAATTCCGGGGAAACCTGTGTGTTAAAAAACAATACGCGGGGGGGGGGTCGGACACTCCCAGGCCGTCAACTGGGGAAGAGGGAGAGTAGTATTGATATTGAGTAATTGTAGAGGGAGGGAGGGAGGGAGGGGAGGGCAAACTAGGTGCGGCCGCGTCATATCTGACATCCTACCCCTCCCTCCCATCCCTTACCATGGCGTAGATCCCTTGTCTATTCGCACAGTCGGATGTTGAGCAGGGCAATGATCCCGAAAGGGTACGCGATGCATTGTAGAGCACGGCGTGGCATGGCGTAGAAAAACACCGCAAAGCGTAGTATGTCACAACATGGCGTGGCGTGGCGTAGTGAAAAATTGCATTGCAAAGCTTTGCAACGCAAAGCATGGCATCGCACAGCGGCCCCGAACATAACATTGCATAACGTGGCGTTGAAGATCAAAACGTAGCATGGCATAGCATGACGTGGCACTTACGCACTGGATATGACAGCTGCAGCTGAAGGCGTGGCATCGCGCAGCGGAACGCAACCTAGCATTGCATTGCATGCCGTGGCATGGCACGGGAAATGACGCCAGCGCTGCAGCGGGAGCACGAGTCGAAACGAGCGGAAGCGCGGAAATGAGGCCAGCGCTGCAGCGGGAACACGATTCGGAACGAGCGGAAACACGGAAATGAGGCCAGTGCCGCAGCGGGAGCACGATTCGGAACGACGAGCGGGAACCCGAAAATGAAGCCCGCGCCTCAGCGAGAGCATCATTTTGAAAAAACAGCCCAAGCGAAAACCCAGCTCCGGGAAATCCTGTGTGTAGAAAACAGTACGCGGAGGGGTGCCCGCTATCTTCCGCACGCCATCAGGGGATGGAGGAGAGTAGTATTCATATTGTGTAATTGTAGAGAGGGAGGGAGGGGGGGAGAGGGAGGGAGGGAGGGAGGGAGGGAGGGGGACGGAGGGAGGGGAGGGAGGGAAAATGGTGAGAAGGAGAAAAAAGGGGGGGAGGGAGAGAGAAGGGGGGAGGGAGGGAAGGACCTCTGCCACCGCCGTTGCCGCGCCGCCACAGCCAGCGGTGACCGCCGAGCTGGGCTCTGCGGGCAGCAGCGCAGCCACGGCGGCAGCGACGACGACCGACGACGACCACCAACGACGACAACCGGCAACGGTTACCGATGACGCCCCCGACTGCGCCGTCCCTTTCCGTCCCTGCTCTCTCCCCTTCCTCTGGTGCCTGGCCGCCCCCCGCCTGCCAGTCGCGTCTGCGAGTGGCGGTTTTCTCCTCCTCCTCCTCCTTCTCCTCCTCCTCCTCTTCCTCCTCCTCCTCCTCCTCCTCCTCCTCCTCCTCCTCCTCCTCCTCCTCCTCCTCCCTTATCCGTCCTGCTTTCCCCTCCTCTCTGGCGCCGTCAGGCGGCTCGCGGGACAACGGCCCTGCGGGCGGACAATGCCCTTCCGGCTGCCCTGGGGGTCCCCTGCGGGGGTGCCGGTCCCTCCTGGACGGGGCCCCCCACAGGCCGTGGGCGGGAGGGAGGGAAGGGAGGGAGGGAGGGGGAGGGGAGGGGGGGAGGGAGGGGAGGGAGAGGGAGAGGGGGAGGGAGGGGGGAGGGGAGGGAGGGGTGGAGGGAGGGAGGGAGGGAGAGGGAGGGCGAGAGGGAGAGGGAGAGGGAGAGGGGGAGGGAGAGGTAGAGGGAGACGGAGACGGAGAAGAAGAAGGATACGAGAAAGATGATGATAATGAGAACCAGACGGAGAAGGATAATGATAAGGATAAAGATAAGGAAACGGATAAGGAGAAGGATAAGGAACAGGAGAAGGAATCGGATAATGAGAAGGAGACGGATAAGTATACTGAGAAGGAGTAGGAGAAGGAAAAGGAGAAGGAGGAGGATGATGATGATGAGGAGGAGGAGGAGCAGGAACAGGAACATGAGGAGGAGGAGGAGCGGAGGCGGGGGCGGGGGCGGGGGCGGAGGCGGAGGCGGAGGCGGAGGTGGAGACGGCGGCGGAGACGAACGGAGGCGGAGGCGGAAGCGGAGGAGAAGGGGGACGAGGAGGAGGATGAGGAGGAGGATGAGGATTCGGAGTTGGAGGAGGAGGAGGAGGAGGAGGATTACTACTAGCAAGAAGAATAGTCATACGACTAATCGTACTACTAACAATACTACTAATACTAATACTACAAATAAAATCACCAATGATAAGGACCCTAGGACAACTTTTTTGTTTAAGACATATCATATTCGTACTAATCATAATAATGCCGACGTTGCTCATCGTAGTATTACTAATGTCACTCATAGTAGTAGTAATGCTACTACGAATGCGATTCAAGTTTTTGGGTATATATGTATAAATAAAGGAATCGTAATACGCAGAATAAGCATACGACGAACACGAACAATACGAATAATAATAACAATATCAATACGAATCACACGAATAGTAATCACAATGCAAGGAATACGAACACGAATGCGAAATATAAGAGTAATGCGAATACTGATACTACGAATAATAGGAATATTAATACTGTTCACAAGAATAAGAAGACGACTGATACTCATACTAAGAATACTATTAATAACATACTAGTACTAGTACTGCAAATAACAACAAGCATACTACTACTAATAACACGAACACTAATGATAATACTAATGAGACCATTCATAAGAATAGGAATCGTGATACGGATAATAGGACACATAAGCATGATAACATTACTAATATTAATACCCGAAAGAAGAAGAGGAGGTAGAGGAGGACGAAGAGGGGAGGAGGAGGAGGAGAAGGATGAGGAGGAGGATTCTGAAAGTGATGAAATGAGGAGGTGGAGGCGGAGGAGGAGGACCAGGACGAGGTGGAGGCAGAGGAGGAGGAGGAATAGGTGTAGGAGGAGGAGGAGGATGATGAGGAGAAGGAGGAGGAGGAACAGGAGGAAAGGAGGAGGAGGAGGAGGAAGAGGAGGAGAGGAGGAGGAGGAGGAGGAGGAGGAGGAGGAGGAGGAGAGGAGGAGGAGGAGGAGGAAGAGGATGAGGAAGAGGAGAGGTCTCCAGAGGTGCCCGGAGATCTCCAGAGGTCTCCAGAGGTTTCGTGAGGCTTCGGAGGCCTACAGAGGCCTGCAGAGGCCTCCAGGACCCCCAATGAGGGTCCGAACCGTTCGGAATCCCTTGTTTCCAATATTCGATCCTGAAGGGTGGAGCGAGGAAAAGAAGGAGGACGAGGAGGCGGAAGGAAGGGAGTGAGGGAGGGAGGGAGGGAGGAGGGACAGGAGGGAGAGGAAGGATGGGCAGTGGCCGCAGGAGGAGGAGGAGGAAGAGGAGGAGGAGGAGGAGGAGCAGGAGGAGGAGGAGGAGGAGGAGGAGGAGGAGGAGATAGGATCCAGGAGATATGAGGAGGAGGAGGAGGAGGAGGAGGAGGAGGAAGAGAAGGAGGAGGAGGAGGAGGAGGAGGAATGAGGAGGCGGAAAAGGAGGAGGAGGAGGAGGAGGAGGAGGAGGAGGTGCCACTCCTAGCCCACTGCGCCGTCGCCGGCCCACAGGATGCCGACTCCCCGACCTCAGTCGCGGAACCCATGAAGGTCCCAGCGCCCGGGCTCGAGGCTGGCTCAGCAAGGGGGAGAAAAGGGCAGGTGGGGAAGAAGGACGCGGGGGATCGAGGGAAGAGGAAGGGTTGGGCCTTCTTATGCAGGCCAACGTAGACACTTCCAGTGTTTCGTAAGGGAACCGCTTGAGACACAATGGAATCCATAGCGAATATATAACAACGCGAGCGGAGGCCAAACAACACAACTACCCGAACACGCTGGCAACACTAAAACGAAGGGCGAGTGAGTTAGTGAGTGAGTCAGTGGGCAAGTGCCGAGAAGGAGGGGTGGGGGCGGAGGAGGCGGACAAGTGTCAACCCAAGAGTCCTCAACGCGGTTGGCATAAACCCTCCCTCCAAGCTCCCTCTTCATAGGCCCCTGCAAAGGTTTGAAGACCCTGAAGCATGCCAAAACATCGTTCTCGGGATTCCATCGCCACGGATCAACCTAATTGTCGCGTCTTGACGATCCTGAATCGTGCCAGAACGCCATTCCTGGTGCTTCAATGCCGCGAAGCAACGTAACTGTTGCACCCCCCCCTCACAGTTCTGAATCCTTACAAACCACCATTGCCGGTATGCTGATCGTGGGAATTCGTGAAACATTTGGAAAGTTTTTGAAACACGACTGTGCGCGGTGCTAAGGCGAGAGCCGTTTTTTTGAAAAGGTACCGCCCTCAATCCGTGAAGCCCTTGCATTTTTTTGAGGCGAATGTGCGCGGCGCTAAGGCGAGAGCTACATTTTGAACACCAGTCGCGCTCAATCCGTGAACCTCTTGCGAAGTTTGAGAATGAATGTGCGCGGCGCTAAGGCGAGAGCCACATTATGAAAACCAGTCTCCCTCAGTCCGTGAAGTTCTTGTAAATTTTTAAAGCAAAGGTGCGCGGCGCTGAGGCGAGAGCCACATTTTCAAAAACCAGTCACCCTCAATCCATGAAGCTCTTGCAAACTTTTTGAAATAATGTGTGCGGTGCTAAGGCGAAAGCTACAGTTTGAAAACCAGTCGCTCTAAATCCGTGAAACGCTGGCAAATTTTCAAACGAATGTGCGCGGCGCTAGGACGAGAACCACATTATGAAAACGACCCGCCCTCCATTTGTGAAACTGTTGCTAATGTGTAAGCTTCAGGGTCATAACGGTGAGAGAGTCTCTGGCGAAACGCCCGGCCCGCCGTAAAAAGTAGCGTCGGGGTGCGACAGGGAGAAGCTATTTATGAGGAACGGAATGGAGGAGGAGGAGGAGGAGAAGGAGGAGGAGGAGGAGGAGGAGAACCTTCAGCACGCCCATCTTGCGTACAGCTTATGATTTGAAAGCCTTTTTCCCCTCCTTCCCTTCCTCACTGTCTCGCCTTAGCATTGTTGGACGCGTGGACTCATTCCGTTGCTTCCGATCATGGTGAGGATGGGAGGATGAGGAGGATGAGGAGGAGGAGGAGGAGGAGACGGAGGAGGAGGAGGAGGAGGAGGAGGAGGAGGAGGAGGAGGAGGAGGAGGAGGAGGAGGAGGAGGCGCAGAGGGCAATATCACACGCGTGGACCAAGTGCGCGCAGCTCATTTGGACAAATAGGCTTGGGCTGCACCACCTCGCCTGCGACCGCCGCCGCGTGTTCGAATTTTAGACGCCACGCGTATTCCCACCACTACCGACCTCTCGCTGCAGGGCGCGCTCAACACTGGCAGCTGGCGGCACTGGCTGTGTTTCCTGCCCACGGCTCACTTTGGCCCCGTTCTCGGACATATGCCCGTTTTGCCCGCCAGGGCCCGCACTTTGGATGGCTGGGGTCGCCGGCCCAAGGCCCACCCCACGCCTCCACTCGACGCATCTCCGACGGCTGGTCCCCTTGCCCAGTGGCAGTTCCCCCCCACTTGGCAGGCGCCCTCGGCTACACCACGCTCAGGGTGCGAGAGTCCAGCCCCGAGCATTCAGGTGCTCCGTGAGTGAGAGTTTCCCGGTTGGCTTTTGCCCGCCATGCCCCTCGTCTCCCGGTCTGTCGGGTGCTGGCGCCACTGTGCGACGCCCCGCTGTCACTGGGTGCCGTTTTTGTCCCGCTCCATGAGGTTCACTTTGTTCCTCGCATGTGCTTTCCGGCGTTGACTTTGGCCCGCTGGCAATTATCTTGCTTGCTCGTGGTCGCTCGCGCCTTCCGGCGTCGGCTTTTGGCCCGCTGGCATTTCTCCCGCTTGCTCCGAGGGGTGGTGCTGGCGTCGTTTCGGCGACCCCTCGCACTCTTCCCGCGCCCGTCCCCCCCCGGTCGTCGCCAAAGTGCGTCTTCTCGAATTTGCTCGGCATGCTTGCATGTGCGGTCGGCTGTCCACAGTGACGGCTGGGTTCGCAAATTATCTGGCTCTGTGCCCCAGTCAGCCCGACTGACCCGCCCTCTGGAGCCTTCCTTGGGGCCGCAGATCAAAAAGTATTCCCACCAGCCCATCCACAATCGATGCGTAGGGGAGCTGACGGAAGAAGGGAAGCAGAGACGCTCATAGTGAAACCGAGCGGGCAAGAACAACGCGTCGTCGACGACGACGACGGCGGCGGCGGCGACGATGGCGGCGGCAGCGGCGGCGACGATGGCGGCGGCGGCGACAACGGCGGCGAGGAGGAGGAGGAGGGCGAGCAAAAATGCCAGAGGTCTCTTGAACGCCTCTCGGAGCCTCTTGGGATATCTCTTGGGCGCTTCTTGGATGCATCTTGGGACGTCTGGAGGGTCTCTTGGCGGTCCTGGGGGGCTCTTGGGCGTCTTGAGTGCGTCGGGGGGGGAGCCTCTTGGAGGCATCTTGGAGGCCTCTTGGGGCCATCTTGGCGCCTCTTAGGGCCTCCTGGGCGCCTCATGGGGCCATCTTGGAGGCGATCGATCAAAAAAGGGGGGTCCTTAGTTTGCACCGCCCCTCGGGGGCCCCCCAAATAGCCTCCTGGACCCCTCTTGGGGCGCTCTTGGAGCGCTCCTGGGCGCTCTTGGGGCCGTTTTGGGGCCCTCTTGGGCCCCTCTTGGGGCTATCTTGGGCCCTCTTGGAACCATCTTGTGCCTCGGAAAGCCATCGGAAGCGAAAAGGCGAGAAGGCAAACATCATTGGTTTTCCTACGATTTTTGAAGAATTTTAGCCTCTTGGAGGACTCCTTGGGGAGCTATCTGGCCTCTTGGAGCCGTCTTGGGGCGGTCTGGGGGCCTCCTTGGAGCATCTCCAGAGCCATCTTGATGCATCTTGGCCCATCTTGAGCCATCTTGGAGGTCATCTTGGGCTTTCCGAGGCTCTCTTGGAGCCGTCTTGGGTCATCTTGGACGCTCCAACGCGTCGCCGCGCACCCCGTCCAGGTCGAGGGGAGGGGGTAGGGCAAGCTAGGTGCGCTCGCGTCATATCTGACATCCTACCCCTCCCTCCCATCCCTTACCATGGCGTAGATCCTCTCTCTACTCGCACAGTCGGATGTCGAGCAGGGCAATGATCCCGAAAGGGTACGCGATGCATTGTAGAACACGGCGTGGCATGGCGTAGAAGAGCACCGCGCAGCGTCGTATCAACCTAGCATTGCATTGCATGCCGTGGCATGGCACGGGAAATGACGCCAGCGCTGCAGCGGGAACACGAGGCGAATCGAGCGGAAACGCGGAAATGAGGCCAGCGCTGCAGCGGGAACACGATTCGGAACGAGCGGAAGCACGGAAATGAGGCCAGCGCTGCAGCGAGAAAGGTTCAGATCCCAACCGGACGCGTGAGATCCCAACCGGACGGTTCAGATCCCAACCGCCAAGGACACGTGGGACGCGTGAAATCCCAACTATTTTGGAGCCTCTGCAAAGCTCCAAGCCTCTGCAAGGTTTTGAGAGCCACTGCGAGCCTCTGAGAGATTCTGAGAGATTCTGAGAGGTTCTGGGAGATTCTAAGAGATTATGAGAGATTCGGAAAGATTCTCAGAGGTTCTGAGAGATTCTGAGAGGTTCTGAGAGATTCTGAGAGATACTCAGAGGTTCTGAGAGATTCTGAGAGATTCTGAGAGATACTAAGAGATTCTGAGAGATTCTGAGAGATTCAGAGATTCTGAGAGATTCTGAGAGCATGAAAACGAGGGGGGGGGCAGGAGGAGGAGGATAAGTGGGAGGTGGAGGAAGGGCGGAGGATGTGGATGAGGGAGGAGGAGGGGGGAGAAGGATGTGGAGGAGAAACAAGAGGAGGAGAAGGAGGCAGAGGAAAGCAGGAGGAGGGGGAGCAGAGGGGGGGGGAGGAGGAGGAGGAGGAGGAGGAGGAGGAGGAGGAGGAGGAGGAGGAGGAGGAGGCCAGAGGCCAGAGGGCTCCTCTAGGCACTCTTGGAGGCCTCCTGGGACCAGAGGCTTTCTTGGGACAGCCTGGGGCTCTCTTGGGGCCGTCTTGGGCCGTCCAGGGCTCCTCTTGCGCCGTCTCGAGGCACTCTTGGAGGCCTCCTGGGCAATTTGGGGCTCTCCTGGGCTGTGTTGGGGCAGTTTGGGGGCCCCTTGGGAGCCTCTTGGGGCTTCTTGGGGCTTCTTCGGGGCCTCTTGGGGGCCTCTTGGGACTCAGAGCACGAACTGTCCGTTCGGGTCCCCCGTCTGAGAGGGACCTCCCCGTGTGAAGTTTGATAGGAGCCCCTCTGTATTTGCTGCACCCCGCTGGTGCCGCACGCGCGGCCTTCGCCGGCGGCGGCTGTGCACGCCCGATCTTCGGCGGCGGCTTTCCTGCCACCACACCTCCGGAGCGCCAGGGTTGAGGCCAGCGGCGGCATGCCCGCCTGGCCTTGGCCGGCTGCATAAAAGCACCTCCTCCCAGCCCGCCCGGCCTTGCCATGTCCAGCGGTTGCTCAGTCGTCGTGGGGCTTCAGCGCTACCTCCCTCCTCACCTCGTCGCCCCGCCTGAGCCCTTTCATGATGTGCACGTACCGCACGCCATTGAAGGTTGCTGGCCCCTTCGCCCCTGCATCGAGGAAAGTCCTCTGGGGCCGTCTAGTCTGGTGGCCGCCCTTCCCCTGGCTATCGCCCGTCAGCGGCT